ATTCCCGTGGGAAGGGGAACGGATTCCTCGGGAAGAGGAAGGGTTGGGATTGTCGAATCCTGCCGTGCCCTGTCCTTCCTGGAATTCCTGGAATTCCCGTGGGAAGGGGAACAGATTCCTTGGGAAGAGGAAGGGTTGGGATTGTCGAATCCTGCCGTGCCCTGTTCTTCCTGGAATTCCTGGAATTCCCGTGGGAAGGGGAACGGATTCCTCGGGAACAGGAAGGGTTGGGATTTTCGAATCCTGCCGTGCCCTGTTCTTCCTGGAATTCCTGGAATTCCCGTGGGAAGGGGAACGGATTCCTCGGGAAGAGGAAGGGTTGGGATGGCCAAGGAGATTTCTCGGGATGGTGGGAACGGAATTTCCCATGGAATGGGAAGAGCGTTCCATGCCCAAAGCGCAGATTCCCCGAAAATACGGGTGGAGGGTCCAGGCCACATTTGGGGTCAGCCCCGGAATTTGGGGATATCGGGAATTATCGATGGGATGTTGGGAATTATCAATGGGATGTTGGGAATTATCGATGGGGTATTGGGAGTTACCGATGGGATGTTGGGAGTTATCAATGGGATATTGGGAATTATCGGTGGGATATTGGGAATTATCAATGGGATGTTGGGAATTATCAGTGGGATATTGGGAATTTTCGATGGGGTATTGGGAATTATCGATGGGGTATTGGGAATTATCAATGGGGTATTGGGAATTATCGGTGGATATTGGGAATTTTTGATGGGGTATTGGGAATTATTGATGGGGTATTGGGAATTTTCGATGGGGTATTGGGAATTATCAATGGGATATTGGGAATTATCAATGGGATATTGGGAATTTTCGATGGGGTATTGGGAATTATCGATGGGGTATTGGGAATTATCAATGGGGTATTGGGAATTATCAATGGGATATTGGGAATTATCGATGGATATTGGGATAATTCCTGCCCGGAGAGGTTTTCCCAGCCCTGGGCAGTGCCGGAGCCCCGTTCCCGGATGGATTTTAAATCCCGGTGGATTTGGTAGGACACAGATCAGGGGTGGCTTCGGCAGCGCCGGAACGCTTGGATCCCATCTCCGAGAGCTTTCCCAACCCAACCAATTCCAGAATTCCCAGATTTTCCCAGCGTCCCGGTCAAACCCATCCCCCCGGAGGATTTATGGAAGCCGGGAATGAAAAGCGGGATCGGAGCAGGCGCCGGAGCCGGGAGGTTTGGGATCTGGGGAGGATCGGGATGGAGCCGGGAGTTCAGGTTATGGGATCCTGGGATTTTGGGATCGTGGGATCACGGGATGTAGGATCACAGGATTATGGGATCATGGGATGATGGGATCAGGTCCAAATCCCTTCTCCACGGACCATCCACAGCGTTATCCCTGTCCCTCAACTTCCTGGGATCATGGGATGGTGGGATCACGAGATTATGGGATCATGTCCGTGATCCTTCTGCATGGACCATCCACAGAATCCCGGTCACACAATTTCATGGGATTTTAGGATGGTGGGATCACAGGATTATGGCACCACGGGTTTATGGGATTTTGGGATCATGGGATTATGGGATCATCTCTGTGTCCCTTCTGCGTGGACTGTCCACAGCGTTATCCCTGTCCCACAAACTCCTGGGATCATGGGACAGTGGGATTGTGGGATCACGGGGTTGTGGGATCGGGAGATTAGGACAGGATCAGATCCAAATTCCTTTTCCACGGACCATCCACAGCATTTTCCCTGTCCCACACCTTCCTGGGATCACGGGGTGGTGGGATCACGGGATCATGGGATCACGGGATCACGGGATTATGGGATCATGCATGAACCATCCACAGCATTCTCCCTGTCCCACAATTTCCTGGGACTATGGGATGGTGGGATCCCAGGATTATGGGATCACAGGATTATGGGATCACGGGATCATGGGATCATGGGATTATGGGATCATGTTGGTGATCCTTCTGCACGGACCATCCACAGAATCCCTGTCTCACAATTTCCTGGGATCACGGGATTATGGGATCACAGGATTATGGGATTATGGGATCATGTCCGTGATCCTTCTGCACGGACCATCCACATAATCCCCGTCCCAGAACTTCCTGGGATCTTGGGATCACGGGATGACGGGATCAGAAGATTAGGACAGGATCAGATCCAAATTCCTTTTCCACGGACCATCCACAGCATTTTCCCTGTTCCACACCTTCCTGGGATCACGGGGTGGTGGGATCACGGGATCATGGGATCACGGGATTATGGGATCATGGGAACACGGGATTATGGGATCATGCATGAACCATCCACAGCATTCTCCCTGTCCCACAATTTCCTGGGACTATGGGATGGTGGGATCCCAGGATTATGGGATCCCAGGATTATGGGATCACAGGATTATGGGATCATGGGATTATGGGATCATGTCCGTGTTCCTTCAGCACGGACCATCCACATAATCCCTGTCCCACAATTTCCTGGGATCTTGGGATGGTGGGATCACAGGATTATGGGATCACAGGATTATGGGATTATGGGATCATGTCCGTGTTCCTTCAGCACGGACCATCCACAGAATCCCTGTCTCACAATTTCCTGGGATTAGGGGATCTTGGGATCACGGGATTATGGGATTTTGGGATCATCTCCATGTTCCTTCAGCACGGACCATCCACAGAATCCCTGTCCCAGAACTTCCTGGGATTTTGGGATGGTGGGATCACAGGATTATGGGATCATGGGATCATCTCCATGTTCCTTCAGCACGGACCATCCACATAATCCCCGTCCCAGAACTTCCTGGGATCTTGGGATGGTGGGATCATGACACACCCAGCTGGTCACCACCACCCCACCCCATCCCTTTCCCCACCCTCCATTCCCGCTGGAGCTTCTCCCACATCTCCACCTTCCCACCGGCGTCCGGCGGGACGTGGTCACCACCGTTCCCACCATTCCCACCGTTCCCACCATTCCCACCATTCCCACCGTTCCCACCATTCCCACCATTCCCACTACTCCAACCATTCCCACCATTCCCACCATTCCCACCATTCCCACCATTCCCACCACTCCCAGCGCCCGGTCCCGGCCGGGTCCTAGATCATCCCGGCCAGGTAGGGCGGCAGGAAGAGCCCCGCGGTGCCCAGGAGGCAGACGATGATGAAGATCCAGAGGAAGATCCGGTCGATCACCATGGCCACGTACTTCCAGTCTTCCTTCACCTGCCGGCGGGAAAATCCCGTGGGAATCCCTTCCCGGGAATCTCCCGGGATTAGGAGACCACCCAGAGCTTCCCGGGAATCTCCCGGGATTAGGAGACCACCCAGAGCTTCCCGGGAATCTCCTCGGGGTGAGGAGACGCGGCGTTCCTCGGAAAAGTCCAAACTTTTCCGAGGAATGCTGAGGTGGGATGGAGATCTCCAGGGAAGAGCTGATCCCACCCGGGGTTTTCCAAACCCGCTTTGGGAAAAGCGGGAATGAGCCAAAGGTGGGAGGGGGATCTCCAACATTCCCAAAGGCAACGGGAGCTGGAGGAACCCTCGAGTGATGCTGCAGACCGGGAATGTCCACGGAGGTGGGAGATGGATCACGGATCTCCTCCCTGGGTTTGGGGCCTCAGGAACCAACCACGGATGCCGGAACAGCCCTTCCCAATTTTTGGGATCTCCACCCCCATTTCTGGATCCCAGAACTTCCCTTCCCAATTTTTGGGATCCCCACCCCCATTTGTGGATCCCAGAACTTCCCTTCCCAAGTTTGGGATCTCCAGCCCCATCCACAGGTCCCAGAACTTCCCAATTTTGGTCCTCAAAAAGAAAACCTGGATCCCAGAACTGCTCTTCCCAATTTTGGGATCTCCAGCCCCATCCATGGATCCCAGAACTTCCCTTCCCAATTTTGGGATCTCAGGAATTAAACCCTAATCCCAGACCTTCCCTTCCCAATTTTGGGATCTCCAACCCCATTTGTAGATCCCAGAACTTCCCTTCCCAATTTTGGGATCTCCAGCCCCATCCATGGATCCCAGAACTTCCCTTCCCAATTTTGGGATCTCGGGAATCAAACCCTAATCCCAGAATTTCCCTTCCCAATTTTGGGATCTCAGACTCTGTCCATGACTCTCAGGACTTCCCTTCCTAATTTTGGGATCTCCAGCCCCATCCACATATCCCAGAACTGCTCTTCCCAATTTTGGGATCTCAGGAACCAAACCCGAATCCCAGAACTTCCCAATTTGGGATCTCCAGCCCCATCCGTGACTCCCAGAACTTTCCTTCCCAATTTTGGCAGCTCAGAGGTCAAACCTTTATCCCAAATCTGCCTTTCCTAATTTTGGGATCTCCAGCCCCATCTGTGAGTCCCAGATCTGCCCTTCCCAATTTTGGGATCTCAGGAACCCTCCATGTATCCCAGAACTTCCCTTCCCAATTTTGGGTCCTCAAAAATCAAAACTGGATCCCAGAACTTCCCAATTTTGGGATCTCCAGCCCCATCTGCAGATCCCAGAACTTCCCTTCCCATTTTTGGGATCTCAGACTCCATCCATGACTCCCAGAATTTCCATTCCCAATTTTGGGATCTCCAGCCCAATTTGTGATGCCAGCACCTTCCCAATTTTGGGATCTTAGGAACCGTCCATGGATCCCAGAACTTCACTTCCCATTTTTGGGATCTCAGGAATCAAACCCTAATCCCAGAATTTCCCTTCCCAATTTTGGTCCTCAAAAATCAAAACGGGATTCCAGAACTTCCATTCCCAATTTTGGGTCCTCAAACATCAAAACTGGATCCCAGAACTTCCCTTCCCAATTTTGGGATCTCAGGAACCATCCATGGATCCCAGAACTTCCCTTCCCAATTTTGGGATCTCGGGAATCAAACCCTAATCCCAGAATTTCCCTTCCCAATTTTGGGATCTCCAGCCCCATCCACAGATCCCAAATCTTCCCTTCCCAATTTTTGGGATCTCCAGCCCCATCCACGGATCCCAGAACTTCCATTCCCAATTTTGGACTCTCAAACATCAAAACTGGATCCCAGAACTGCTCTTCCCAATTTTGGGATCTCAGGAGTCAAACCCAAATCCAAGAACTTCCCTTCCCAATTTTGGGTCCTCAAAAATCAAAACTGGATCCCAGAACTGCTCTTCCCAATTTTGGGATCTCGGGAACCAAACCCGAATCCAAGAACTTCCCTTCCCAATTTTGGGTCCTCAAAAATCAAAACTTGATCCCACAACTTCCCAATTTTGGGATCTCCATCTCCATCCATGACTCCCAGAACTTTCCTTCCCAAATTTGGGATTTCAGGAACCATCTGTGGATCCCAGAACTGCCCTTCGCCATTTTTGGGATCTCCAGCCCCATCCACAGCTCCTGGAAAAGCCCTTCCCAATTTTGGGTCCTCAAAAAGAAAAACTGGATCCCAGAACTTCCCTTCCCTATTTTGGGATCTCCAGCCCCACTTGTAGATCCCAGATCTTCCCTTTCCAATTTTGGGATCTCCAGCTCCACCCGTGGATCCCAGATCTTCCCTTCCCAAGTTTGGGATCTCCAGCCCCATCCACAGATCCTGGAACTTCTCTTCCCAATTTTGGGATGTCAGGAACCCTCCATAGATCCCAGATCTTCCCTTCCCAATTTTGGGATCTCCAGCCCCATCCCCAGTTCCTGGAACTTCCCTTCCCAAGTTTGGGATCTCAGGAACCCTCCCTAGATCCCAGATCTTCCCTTCCCAATTTTGGGATCTCCAGCTCCACCCACAGTTCCTGGAACTTCTCTTCTCAATTTTGGTATCTCAGGAACCCTCAGTAGATCCCAGATCTTCCCTTCCGAAGTTTGGGATCTCCAGCCCCACTTGTAGATCCCAGATCTTTTCCCAATTTTGGGATCTCCAGCCCCATTTGTAGATCCCAGATCTTCTCTTCCCTAGTTTGGGATCTCCAGCCCCATCCACAGGTCCCAGAACTTCCCAATTTTGGTCCTCAAAAAGAAAACCTGGATCCCAGAACTTCCCTTCCCTATTTTGGGATCTCAGCCTCCGTCCATGGCTCCCAGGACTTCCCTTCCCAACTTTGGCATCTCAGGAACCAAACCTGGATCCCAGAACTTCCTTTCCCAATTTTGGGATCTTCCCCCCCATTTTTGGATCCCAGAACTTCTCAATTTTGGGATCTCCAGCCCCACTTGTATATCCCAGATCTTCTTTTCCCAATTTTGGGATCTCCAGCCCCACCTGCAGATCCCAGATCTTCCCTTCCCAAGTTTGGGATCTCCAGCCCCACTTGGAGATCCCAGACCTTCCCTTCCCTAGTTTGGGATCTCCACCTCCACCCGTGGATCCCAGATCTTCCCAAGTTTGGGATCTCCAGCCCCACTTGTGGATCCCAGATCTTCCCAATTTTGGGATCTCCAGCCCCACTTGTGGATC